AGGACCAGGTTCATCAAAGCGGATTCAAACATCCTACGGATTGTTGAGATAGCTCGGGTCGGCCCTGGCCAAATGATTTTCATTCACGTGTGATCATGGCAGTTGAGGTTTAGCTACTTGGCCATGCTAAGCACGCCCCCGAAGTTGCAGATATATAATATATGATATATATATATATATATATATATATTGTATATATTATCTAATTATGCATTGTGCATATATATATATATATCCTATATAGTACTCATATATGTTTATTTCAATCATTGTTCACCTCTACACTACTGTTGCTTGGTTCGTCCCAAAAAATCTTGGTGAAGTGAAATCCAGCTTTTTGGTGCTGCCTTGGTGCTGCCAGATAAGTGCCTTCCTGGTTTCTCGGTTCCCGCTTGGTTGGATTGATTGGTTGGACAAAAATCCTCGGCAGTCAAGGACTACCAGAAGTTGATATGGTATCAAGGAGCCTCGGCTGCAGCTGACATCAGTGAGGTGATTCTTGGAGGCTGCCCGGCCTCCCAAAACTAATTGTGAAGCTTGAGGGTTTGCAGATGTTCAACCTTGATCAAAGTATCAGACCTGCATTAGCCCGCACAGCAAATGTTGATTATCCGTTTGAAGGATTCCAACGGTATGCCCTTGCCATGCCACATATCGCTGCCACATGCGCACTCTGAGACACCCCTGAGCTGATGCCGGAGATCGGCAGCCAAGAAGAACTGGAGGAGACCGCCCGATGGGCAGGGCACGGCCTATGTGAATTGGGGTCCTGAAAACATCAGATCATGAACAGAAGATTGCATCAAACAACATGAGTGCAGAGCCGTGAACGCATGTGTGCATATCTTTATACATATATTATCAAATATTATTGATATTATAATAGAAATCGTTAGAATATATATATATACTAATATGATGTCATTATGCATATCATTATAATTGCTATTATATATATATATATTTCTCTATAGTTTGCATCATAGTGTTTGCGTGTGTGTGTGTATACTGTATGTAGATGTGTATGGCGCATCCCATGAAAATTGCTATATAGGCACTAGGCGCTGGCCCTGCCGCTGCGTTGGTGGGCTACGTGGATTCCCTGTGCCCCTGGGGAGTCAAGCATGGATTTCACCAGCAAAAAAAGGGATTCAACCAGCGTTAGAAATGCCTATTGATGGTGTATTTTAACCAGCATAGCATGGCATTTTCTGGTGATTTTATGGGATATATCCGATAGAATATGATATATATATATATAGTAGGAATCTAATCTACCAATATGTGGGCTAAAATCACCCAACCAACATGGCTATGGTCATGGGGAAATTCGCAAACAATACAGCCTCCCCAAAGGTGACACCAGCAATGGTTGAACGTTCGATATAAACCCCTACTGTAATTGCTGTGGTTATTGGTGGTTAATATCTATTTGTCAAAGCAGCATTTCATGTGAACATCAGACGTTTTAGCATGGCACATCATCCAGGCTGGTAAATCCCCGCTGTACAACAGCTCGAGGAGGGATTCACGCGTGTAGGAAAAGAGCTGAGCACCGTGCATGGACATGGCACTTTGATCCAGGCTCCGGTTTCTTGTGGCATTGGTAGCGTACAACCTGGAGTACCTGTCCTCTCGGTGCTCAAGGGTACGCACTATGGGCAGCCTAGCCTTTGACTCAGATGTTCCTTTGAGCTATGGCTCGATGGATGAGGACGAAAGCAGCTTTGGCGCCACCGCCTCTGAGAGTGCAGCCGCTGAAGATGGCGCTTCTCAACCACCTCCAGCTGAACCAGCTGTTGAGCCCCCTGCCGATGCAACTACACCAAGATCGTCCAGATCAAGACCTCGTGGTTCACGTGGCTCTAGGTCGTCAAGGCCTTCTGGTGGTGCACAGAGGCAGTCTGAGAGGAAATGGCGATCTGGAGCGATTCCTCAAGCTCCAGTGTTTGAAGGAGATGTGGAAGCAGACCCGTATTGTCTGCGGCACTACAAGAAGAGGTTGAATAGGTGGTGTCTCATCACGAAGGACTTCTTGCCCGCCAGGGAACAAGCTTTGCGGGCGCGAGAGCAGCTTCGTGGTGAGGCAGAGCTAGAGCTGGCTGAGCTTGATGACAGCCGCTACAACGTGGACAATGGCATCGAGGTGCTCCTGGGTGATTTAGAAGAATCCTTTGGCGAACGACCTTTGTTCCGCCAGGGTGGAGCAATTCGAGAGTTTGAAAGCATTGGCAGGATTCAGGGTGAAAGCATCACCGCATTTGTGCGGAGGTTCCGTTTGCTGGAGAGGCGTTTACGGGACAACCAGGTGCCTGAATATCCAGAAGCCAGCCGTGTGATCAAGCTGTTGGACGGGCTTCGCTTGGATGAGCGCTCAACCTCAGCGCTCTTGCTCGCTGCAGGCAACCAATACAAGATGAGAGCTGTGCTGGACGCTATCAAGATCCAGTATCCTGCTGGCGTTTCCATCACTGGGTTGCCACACAAACGTGGTGCTGCTGCTTCGTTCAAACGTGGTCAGAAACCTGGACGTGGCAGAAAGGCATGGCATACCACTGTGGATGAGGACGCCAATGAGTATGACGACACAGAGATGCATGAGTATGAGGCCTGGCAGGCTGATTACGCGACAGTGGCTGAACCTGAGGCTGAATATGACGATGTGGCCTATGATGAAGAGGATGCTGACTACCAGGCAGATGAGACTGAAGCTGCTGGTGACGGCGCTGAAGCTGCTCCTCAAGATGTCTCCGCCAACAACTTGGCTGCTGTGGTGGAGGCGCTGACTGTGACTTCAAAGCGGCTGGCTGAGTTGACCAAGTCGCGTGGCTACTACCAGGACAAGGGCAAAGGCAAGTCTGGTGGTGGTGGTAAGTCCAACAAGGGCAAAGGCAAAGGCAAATCCAAAGACGGCAAGGGCAAGAGCAAAGGCAAAGGGAAGGGCAAGCCAAGTCCTCTTCCCAACAAGGGCAATTTGGCCCATCAGAAGAAAGCCTTGGACGAATCCCTGTGCCTAGGCTGTCTCTCTCCTGGTCATTGGCTTCGAGATTGTCCCCACTCCAATACATATACAGCTCAGCTAACAACAGCTGGCAGTGTGCTGGATGCCGAAGGCAACATGGTGGATCACTCAAGCTGGATGGTCACCTGCACTCCGGCCGTTTCAGATCATGCAGTGGCGGAGGAAAAAGAGCACTTTGTGACCGCCGATGACGGGCTTCAGAACTTTTTCATGGCTCCTGAGTATGACATGTTTTCTGAATCCCATGCGGTTGTTAACACCATGGCAGCTCTTGATTCCATCCAGGTTTTTGACACGATGGCAGTTTCTGACCCCATTGCAGCTTTTGTAGATGAACCGGTTTTTGTAGGTGACATCGCTTCTCAGAATATCCTCATGGTAACCAATGATCAGGGCATCCCCAATGACTTTGAAGATGTTGCGGTTACATATCCACTTTATGGCAATCCCCAGATCTTGTTGCAGAACGTTTCAAAGGTTGAGGGAGGCATCATGATAGCTGACACTGGATGTCAACGTCAGGTAGCTGGGAAACGGTGGCACATGGTTCAACAGAAGAATATTCAACCCCTCCAAGCAGTTCCATTTGAAGATGCATGTCATTTCAGCTTTGGCCCGCATGAAGGTACTCCTGCAACAGCAAGATTCGCCTATCCTGCGGGGCTTGGAGGTGCCGCGGTGACATTAGGTGTCAGCCAAGTCGATGTTGATGCACCAGCACTTTTTTCCAGACCTGCTTTTGAAACTTTGGGGGCCATTCCAGATATTTGTCAGGGTGTCATGTACTATCAAGCATTGCAGTGCACATCAAAGTTGTTTTTGGCATTTGGACACCTGGCAATTCGAGTGGATGAGTGGCCTGACACCAGTTTTACATGGCCCATGCAGTTTGAGCGCAACCAGATCCCTGATGTTTGGATTCCTCAAAGCTCCGAAGCAACTGTTCTCAAGGCTGTCAAGCTTCAACCAGCCCGAGATCCAATTCGAAAGCCGCCGCATGCCGACGACCACGAACCCTCCAGGATGGCTGAGCAACTGGAGGTTTCTCATGATCAACTTCCTGGAGACCCTCTACAATGTGAAGCAGATGGTCTTGGTGTATGCGGCCACGTCCCTGAAACCTCGCATGAAGGATGCCATGCTGGATGGGTACTTTCCACCCCAGACCGCGGTGACAATGTTGAAGACCACCACGGCGGCTCAGATGCAGAAGAATCACCAGCTGGCTTACCCCAACGATCCAGCTCGATGCGACCATGCTCTTGGACTTCGAAGCTATGGCGCTGGGGGCAGGATCATCAAGATATGCGACCAATGTGGGGGCCGTTGGATGGTGAACACCGACAAGGACAAGTCGCTGATCCTTTGCACTCCCAAGGCATCACCTTCAGCAAAGACACCCTTGGGCTTGCCGAAGGGAACTCTCAAGACCGGCTACGCCCTTCACCCAGAAGATCTGGGGCGACATCGACTTCAACTTCAGCAACAAGAGGCCAGCCGTGCAAGCCAAGCTCCCAGTCAGACTACAAGGACAAGCCCATCAACGGGGCGGTCAAGGGTGTCAGCAAGTTCCTTGGTTGGCTCGCGACCCTCGCTGTCGCTTTCAATGAGTCAGGCCAGGCCCAAGACCAGGCCTGCAGTTCCCACGTCAGCCAGACTGACCGAGCAGAACTTGCAGGAGCTGCTGGAGGTGGACGATGCGAGCATGGCGAGCTGGGATCAACCAAGGGTACCAAGTATGGCCTACTCACCCAGCATGATGGAGCCAGAACAAGAGCTGTCAGCTCGCCGGAGCGAGTTCACATGGCAGAGCCGGCGTCGAAGCCGACAGCGCGAGGAACACTTGGAGGAGGAATTGACGCTGGGAGAACAGGGAGAACATCTGTGGCAGACACGCCCCATTCCTATGACCGACGAGGAGGAGGATTTCAACGAGGCCCACGAGGTCGAGGACGAAGCCTAGATGGACTTCGTCACCATGCTAAAGTATGTCAACATGATGGCGACCAACCTCACTCTGCAGAACATCAACAAGAACCTTTGGGGCCCAATGCGCTTCGAGGATCTGCAGATGAACCATTGCTCAAAGAAGACCGCGGGTGGCAACAACTCCGCTCTGGGCATCAGAAGCGCCTCCTTGGGACTATAAGGTCATTGCACAAGTGCTTGACTGTGGAGGCGAACCTATATGGACAACAAGCTGCCCGAGCTCGAGCAATGAGGCGCCATCGTTGTGACCTTTTGGAAGTTTATGGTGGTTTTGCCAACATCTCCATTGAGGGGATCAAGCAGGGTTTGAAAGTGGCGCAGCCCATTGACAAGGTGCACGGTGTGGCCATCGAGACCAGGGCTGATCATGAGCAACTTCGACAGCTCTTGCGGCGACACCGGCCCTTTTTGACGGTGTGGGAGATCAGGTGCGACCCTTGGTCACACATCCAACACCTGAACTACACGGCCGAGCAACTTGAAGAGCTGCGCCGCCAACATTTGCTTGACTTGGAGGAGATGGCCAAAACCATTTGTGAGCTCTATGAATTGGGATGCCATTTTCTTTTGGAAAACCCCTGGGGCACAGAGTTCTGGAAGCAGTTGGCACTACAACGCATTCTTCGTCTTCCTGGTGTGGAGCTGAAGCGTGGGTCGATGTGCAACTTTGGCCTCAGAGGGCATGATGGCTATCTCCTGAAGAAGGACACGGGATGGTGCAGCGATCTCCCGATGGTGTTAGCTGCAGTGGCCGTACCATGTCCTGGTCTACATGAACATGAAGAATGTTTGGGCACCAACGCCAAGAGAGCTCAGGTCTACACGAAGAAGCTTGCCAGAGCTGTTGTGGGTGCCCTACTTCAAGAACTACAACTTCGTGGTGATGAACGCTTTTGCAAGCACGTTGAGTCCTATGCTCAGTGGACCACATCTATGACACCTTCAACATTGATTTCATCAACAACATTTTCAACTTTGACAACATCATCTTCATCATTCACCTCACCTTCAACATTGACTCCACCTTCAACATTCCCTCCATCTTCAACTTTGACTACTTTGTCATCATGGATGTCAACCACAGAATGCTCAGTTTGGTTTGCAGACATCCGCCAGGATGTCGAGTCTTGGAGACCTCTCCTGAAGGAGGCCGCAGATCGACTCCACAACAAGGTTCAGACTGCGGCAACCGTCAAGGAGGACACGGCATTTCATGAACAAGTTCAACAACTGGTTCCTTGGAAGATGAAGCTGGTGCAGATCGCACGAGCTCCCAAAGTGCGACGGCTTTTCCTTTGCAGCTGATGACGCGTGAGGCAATCACGCACCGTGCTGCGGTTTTGCAGTACAACAATGGCCAGATTCGCTTGGAATCAGAGGCCGTCGCAGATGTCAAAGATGCTCCAGGTGCCAAGTTTGACACACCAGTAGCGTACGCCATCTTCATCTACGGTGAGGCCCCCATCACAAGCTATGACCCTGAGGAGAACCTGAAGCCTGAAGAGGTCAAGGTGAAAAAGCCAGACGCAGCACCTCTTGCTGCCAGCGCTCCAGCGCCTGACCTAGAGCCAGAAGAACAGTGGTTTCAGCATCAACCTGGAGCCAGAGATGTGACCTTCCCTGGGCTCAAGGGTGTGCCGCGCTGGATGCTTTCTGTGCTCACCAGGGTCCATGTGAATTTGGGGCACCCTGAAACTGAAGCTCTTGTGCGACATCTTGCACAAGCTGGTGCCAGTGGAGAAGCTCTACTTGCAGCGAAGCACTTGCACTGCCAGATTTGTGCTCGCACCAAGCCACCAACTACTGCAAGGCCGGCCAAAGTTTTTCAGGCCAAGAGGTTCAACGACAGGTTGATGATGGATTTGATTTTTGTGCGAGACGTGACCAGCCAGATGCACACTTTTCTTTCTCAAGTGGATGATGGCACCACCTACCAAGTTGTTGACCTTTTGGAAAACAGAACCTCTGAAGAAGTTGCCAAAGTGTTGGCGCGTGGCTGGTTCAAATACTTTGGCTACCCAGACCAAGCCTTGCTGGATGCGGAAGGTGCTATGAGAGGATGGGATGTTGAACAGTGTTTGGCACAAGGTGGTGTGCAGGTACGTTTTGTGCCGCCTGATGCGCACTATCAACTGGGAAAGGCAGAACGCCATGGACAGGCCATCAAGCACATCATGAAGCGCTTGGTGAACCAGTTTGCGGCCACAACCCCGGAGGAGATGCAACAGATTGCCAACATGGCTTGCTTTGCAAAGAACAGCATGGCGCGCAGATCAGGTGCTTCACCATGTCAGTGGGTATATGGCCGTGCTCCCAAAGTTCCAAGTGCCATCCTTTCTGAGCCCGATGCGGTGGAGGCAAAACAGGTGATAGAAGATTCCGAGCGCTATCGGCGCATTGAGGAGATGCGTCACAGTGCCATGATGGAGTATTTGCAGTACGAGCACTCCGAAGCCCTGAGGAAGGCAATTCTTCGGAAAAGCCGACCATGGCGAGGCCCGGTTGAAGTCGGAGCCCGTGTTGCCTACTTCCGGCAGAAGAGCCAATTGGATGGAGAGGGCACAGCAGAGGGCTATAGACAAGGCATCGTGATCGGTGTCGATCCAACTCCAACAGGATCAGTTTGGATCCGCAACAACAGAGGCCGAGTCGTGCAGGTGGCTCGAGAGCAGCTTCGAGGCGTTGAAGGTGAAGAGCTTTGGACCCCTTCCTCAGCCGACATACGGATGCTGCGCTCAGCTGAAGAAGATTTGACCACAAAGCATGCTGGAGTTCATGATCACCGAGGTCCTGCTCCACAAGCCATTGAGGACAAGGTGATTTTGGATGCTGCTGGACAACCTCAAGGCCAACTTGCCTTGGACGAGGGAGATGATCTACTTCCTCTTCTTGCTGCACCAGCACAGAATGTTCCAGCTCAGCCCGTTGCGCCTGAACTGGCGATTGTGCCAAAAGCCTTGCCAGCTACTCCTTTGACAGCACCACTGACGCCAAGAACAAGGAGACAGAAGCAGCTGGCTGATCAACCAGCAAGTTCAGCTGGATCCAAGCTTGCCAAGAAGGACATTGTTCTTCCAGTGCCAGATCAACAACCACCGGTTTTGTCAACAGACATTGCAGCAGGCTGGTTTCTTGACCCCGATGGGCGTCCAACATGTGTCACTGAGAAGGCCACGACCATCCCAACTCCAGATCCTCAACATTGTGATCCAAATCAGTTTCAATATCGAACTACTTGGTCTTATCACGGCGACCAATGGAAGAAGTTGGAGGATCGTGTCCAATGGAGCCAAGCCCCTGTTGCTGATGTTTCAATTCAAGGTGTGCCAGTGGAACGTTTGGTTACCACTTTTTCACCTGATCAAACTGTTGGACGAAGGCCATCAATACAATCAACTGTGGAGACCCATCGCGGTGTGAAGAGGAGTGCAGAACAGTCTGAATTGCCTGCACGGCCTGAACGAGATCCTACCTCGACTGAAGTTGCTGAACATGCTGCTGCAGAACAAGCTCCACCACCAGTGCCAGCCGAGACGGCAGATGCCCTGGCGACCTACTGCAGCGAATGTGGCAGCTCAGATCAACAACATGATCTGCTTTTTGCACAGTGCTCCCGCTGTTGTGCACACTCCTTCGTCGCCGATCCTCGCCAAGTGACGAATTGGTTTGATGAAGTTGAGGAACGACAAGCCTTTGAGCAGTTGCAAGATGAGATGACCTACAGCACTAGACTGAAACACTGGTCTAGTCTTCCTCGAGCTGACCTACAAGAAGTTCTTCTTCCTGCCCCTGATGCCATGGATGAGGCCTATGAGAGCGAAGCTTTTCTGCTGGACATTGGGCAGTGCTTCCGACACCTGCCTGAGGATGCAAAGGATGATGCGACCTTAGTGTGGAGTGTAGCCATCCAGGACGAGAATGCGGAATGGCAGTGGCAGGAGATTTTTCAGAACATCAACGTTGCCTCAGACACTTTTGAAGAGACCATGCGGTCCATGCCTGATGAGCGGTGCAAGGCCCTTTTCATCAAGCACCAGAGAAAAAGCCGCCGACCACTACGGCGAAAGGTTTTCTTTGTGAAGGTCAAGATTCCCAGAAAAGAACGACACTGGCTTCGGCGTCATGGCCGACACAATGTGATGACAACTGGCTGGGATGGATCTCCGCCTGAGCTTCAACCTCTCTTCCAGTATGAGGACTTTTCCAAGGTCTACCACAGCTTCATCACTGACCTTGCGGACAAGAAGACCGCTACGGTGAATGCCGAGGTGATCAAGGATGTCGAGCAGTTCATCCAAGCTGGCAGACCCACTTGGGAACGGACCTCATGGCAAAAAGCTGAAGAGCCTGACACCTTCAGCGTGCACTTTGCCGAGAACCAAACCATCACAGGCCCTGAGTCCAGTGATGAAGATGAAGAAACTGATGATGTTGGAAGAGCAGCCAAACAGGCATTGAAGAAAGAAACGCCCTGGCGAACTATCAGCAATGAAGATCGCCCCAAGTTCATCCAAGCCAATCAGGATGAGTGGAGCGAGTGGCTGAAATGGTCAAGCTGCAAAGCTGAAGTCCAGGATCTGCTACCGCTGGAAGCCCAAAGATGGAGGTCGCTGGTTTAAGCCAAAGTCCAGGATAGTGGTGTTGGGTTTTGCAGACCCCCATTTGCCGTTGCTGAGCAGGGACGCGCCGGTTTTGGCGAAAACAACCTTGGTGCTGATCATCCAGTGGGCAGCAACCTTCAATGTGGCACTTTGGAATGGCGATTGCAAATCAGCTTTCCTTCAAGGAGAACCTGATACAGAACGACCAACACAGATCTACATGCGTCCACCGCAGGACCCAATTGCCAAAGAATCTGTGCCTGAGTGGAACCACCCCTTGCTGCTGTATGCCTTGACGGCACCGGTGTATGGCCAGGCAAATGCGCCTCGCCAATGGTTCCTTCATGTTCTTCGAGTTCTACTTGGACTTCAATGGCGGCAACACAGCCTAGATCCATGTTGCTTTCTCCAAGTTTCCGGGGATCAAGTGACAGCTGTCTTGGGCATTCACGTGGATGACGTGATCTGCTGCGCTTTGGAGGGCTACGAGCATCATTTGGATGCCGTGAAGAAAGCTTTTGAATGGGGTTCTGAATGGGAACGTGATGATTTTATTTTCACGGGCCGAAGAATCAGACGCCAAGATGATGGCAGTTTCCACATCGACCAGGAGCACTACGTGGCTGAGGTGCACCTGACCAAGATTCATCATGGTGATGATGAAAAGCTGAGTAGCCATCCGGCACTTGTCACGGAGTTCAGATCTGGAATTGGCAGTTTGCAATGGATGGCAGGTACCACCCGTGGAGACCTAGCAGCAGACACTTCACTTTTGCAGAAGCCGCCGAAGGAGCTCACCGTGGGCGATCTCAAAGAGGTCAACAAGGTTTTAAAGTATGTGCGTGCCACGGCCAACGCCTACTACAAGGTGAACCCGTTGGACCTCAAGGACTTGGTGTTCATCGCCTACGGCGACAGTGGATGGGCGAATGCGCCTGGAAACAAGTCCCAAGGCGGCCTGGTGACTTTGGCAACGAGCAAACGTTGCTTGGAGGAGCCATGCAAGGCATCTTTGCTGGAGTGGAAGTCGTACCGGCACCAGAGAATCTTGCGGTCGACACTAGCTGCTGAAGCCGCTTCCTTGGATCGAGCTTTTGATGTTGGCAACTTTATGGCCTGCGTGTTCAGCGAGATGACTTTTGGAAACTACAGAGCCACATCTGCCACACCAATGTATGAGGTGATTCCTGTGACGGATGCGCGTTCGCTCTGGGACGCAATTCACAGGTTGAGCACGACCTTTGCTGAGAAACGGGTGGAGATTGATGTGGCGGCGCTGAGACAAAGTTGCCGCGCGCTGAGATGGGTGCCAACGGAGCAGCAAAAGGCAGATGCCTTGACGAAGAGAAGCCCGGCGTTGAGAGATGCCTTCAGAAGGTGGGCACAAGACCCGGTAGTGGCATTGACTGATGCCAAGAGTGCTGAGGAAGGGGCCGATAACCATGCATGGAAAGATGTGTCAGCTAACAGAAAAGTATACCAGTGTCAAAGCAGCATTTCATGTGAACATCAGACGTTTTAGCATGGCACATCATCCAGGCTGGTAAAACCCCGCTGTACAACAGCTCGAGGAGGGATTCACGCGTGTAGGAAAAGAGCTGAGCACCGTGCATGGACATGGCACTTTGATCCAGGCTCCGGTTTCTTGTGGCACTATTTATCTATCTATCTATCTATATATATATATAAGCCCTTATGTAATGAGTGGAGTTGGGGGGATTGACATTTTGGGGACCCAGGGGCCCAGGTGCCAGGTGGCCTAGGATGGCCCAGGATGGGTAGTAGCCTCAGTAACATGGCGTGTATACCACTGAGAATGGATGGGACTATGTATATTATATATATATACATTATATATATAATTGCAAAACATGTGACTCATGGGCTATCACCGCCACTGTTCCACTGTGAAAAAATACACCCATATGCCTCCCTGGACTTGCTGATGTGTTTTTTTGTAAGCATCTTATTTCTCAATTTGGCGCATCCACTCTTTATACCACTAGTGGGGATATGTTAATATATGCAGTACGTGTTTTCTATTTCTCATCGCCCCTCCTAAGAAAAGACGCAAATCCAAGAACCGAGCCATAGATGCCCAAGCGAGGTACACCTATGGAGCTCCAGCTGTGGCAGATCCACCCTTGCAGGACGACGAGCCAACTGGAAGTGGCAAACTGACGGGATATGTTCAGGATAGCTTCGAAATGATGAACACATACACCATGTATATTCATTTATCACCATTTATACCAATTTCTTAATTTTGCTGTAGGTGTTGGAAAAACATGTGATCCAGTGATGGTTCCATTTCTGGTTCCTGCCCCCACTTTGCGTTTTCCCTCTGTTTCGCTCGGATTTGGCGTTTTGTACCGATCGTGGTCTCCGCAGCTTCTGTGATCAAACACAAAAACGCAGAACGAAGCGACCTTCCGGTGTGACCGAAGCCACCATGGGTTTGTCGGGTTCCCACCTCCATTGCGAGAAGCTGGCTGGTGATTTTATAGATGTTTTTCACATGTGTTTTTTCCACATGTGTTCCGCCCAAAATGAGGGAGACATATGAAATATGAAAACATGCAATCTTTATCCTTCTACCAATTGATTGTGTTTGTTTCTGACTATTTTGCTTCATAGACTCTTTTCTTCGACCATCATCCCACTTGGTAACTAGACTAGTTCATATCCCTGGTCGGTAAGATTCAGTATTCGTGGGTTATCCATGGTTGTCCCATTCATAGGTGCACTATCCCAGCTTAGTATCCACTTAAGACCCATTTGGATCCATTTGGCTGATCAGTTCTACGGGCTCCACCAGGAATGTCCGTGATGTTTCCCCCTTCCAAACGGAGATCATCGTGACGAACCACATGCAGACGCCTGTGGTGATCATTGAGGCCAAACAACATGGGAACGCCTCGCCCATCGGTGGAATCCCACATTCTGTGCCTCCCGGAGACCTGGACACACAGCTTTTTCGCGGGAGAATCCACAAGAAATGGGGGCGATCTGTTGATTTTTTTTCAGCCAGCATTGATCCGTTCTTTTCAGGGAAAATATGCTTCATTTGTCACCAAAGTTCATCCAAAGCGAAGGAGAGCACGCCATCATGTCGGGCTATTTGAAGGAACCCCGGGCCACACTCTTCATCCGCACCGGCTTGCACGAGGCCAAGACAGTCCTGGTGCCCAACTTAGGCCGCATCAGCATTTTAGCGGCACCGCATGGCTTGAAGGTGGAGACCGTAGATGAAAAGGTGGGACACGGGCAAGTCATGGCAAGTCTGAGCAATCCCTGCTGTAGAATGCTGTAGGGGAGTTAGACATATCTGGGACCATATTAGGGGGATGGTTTTTTGGGGCTGAAAAGGGGGGATGCATCAAAATTATTCAAAATTGTCATTCTGTGGCAATTTTAATAGAGACCATGAATGAAAACGATGATTAAGTATCGAAATTTGGGTATCTTATGTTCTGACAATTTCTGACAAACTCATGTACGGGATTTCTTAAGTCATGGGGGACCCCAAAATGAGCAAAACTATTGGTAATTTTTGGATGGGGAACCCATGGTAAGGGGTACCACAATTTTGACAAGCACCCATATCTTAGCCCCCATTTGGGTTGTTCAGTTACAGCACAGTCCTATATGTGCGCACATATAATAGACCTCTAAATGTGTTTTAGCAGGGAATCCATCAAATACCTGAAGAAGCACCTTGATCCGTTTTGAATCGTTTTTTTAAATTAAACATGTATAAATATCTATCATATTATATGATGGTTTTGGAATGTTTTGCTTGTTTTATAATTAATTATTAATAAACATGTTTTGGGCGGACTAGATTCATAAACCAGGCTTTCCGAATCCAGGGTTGATGTTATCCACACCTGGGGGGATAGATGTCTCCAGCACCCATTTATATCCATTCACCGTCTTTTCTGTCAGGTGTCGATTGAAGACTATGAAGGAGATGCGGCAGTCATCAAGGGCGCAGACACCATCCCCATGCTGTTGCACAATGAGCACTTCAAGGATGTGTCGCCCAGTCCCAGCAAGAGCCGTACTGTTGCGCAATGAGCACTTCAAGGATGTGTCGCCCAGTCCCAGCAAGATCCAGGCGTGAGAGTGGCCGGCCGCGGAACACGTTGCGTTGCGTAGAGCCGTCGAATAGATCAAGAAGCTAAGTTCTTTCTTGATACCAACGTCGAGTGATGATGTTAGATGTTTCTAGGCTAATTGGAAGATGACATGTACAATCCTGTATTTTTCTGATTTTACTAACTATGATTGGTATTATTTTTTGGTGAAGCATGTTGCACCCTTTGATTTGCGTTGCTTTGATGGTGAAGCAATTTAGTGTTTCTGAAGCGGGGCCGAACCGGACAGCGCATGGCTGAGGACGATTCTTCCCGGACTGGCCACGGCTGGTTGATGTCATGGGTTGGTGCATTTATGGCGCTGTTGCATAATACTTCAATCCCTTTGAAGCTTTCCACTTTGGTCAAAATTGCCACATTTCAGCAATTATGTTCAACATATTTCAACAAATTTAATTTATTCTAAGGAAAGACTCATGACTCTTGATGAGTCACAGTGATTTGAAGACAGGCACCAACAGCCGGAGCTAATTCAATGGCCCGAGTATTTTTAATGGGCGCTGTAATTACAGCGACCCACTCTGGTCGCAGAAAACGTAGCAGTGTAAGCGGGGTATTTCCGAGCGCACGTGGCGGGTATGACGGATCACGAACAGGTCCTCCCCTGCCACGGAAAGTAACTTCAGAAATGTCGCACAACATTTTTAGCATATAATTTGCGCAGATTATGTCATATGCATAAGTATCTACACATGTTTCATACAATTATGTAATATTATATATATATATATTATCATATAGATATAGATATCATAAACAGTCCCGGTATTTGCACGGCGAGTCTCTCTCAGCAAACAGGTGTGCAACCATTGTGTTTTTTAAAGATGTGAGTACCCCGAGCTTCGCTCTGTGTGTCCACTGTTTTGCGCCCGAGCAGAGTTGGATTGGTGTAAGCAGTTGACACGCAACCTTTGTATGTGAATGACTGTGCATGTCCCTTCAACGCCAAGCCGCAGCCACAAGAAGTGAATTTGACTTGGAGATTGGAAGTTGCACAACGTATAATTCACATAGAATAAGATGAGATCCCCATGCAATACTGTGTTTGACCATGAACCCCATTGAGATTTTTTGCTCACAGGTTTTTCTCAGTGGCTGGAAGTCAGATCCGATCTGACCAAGCTTGGCTCCAGCTCCAGCTTCAGAGCTCTTGGTGAGGCCAGCGTCACGGCTCCCTTGCAAAGACAGGCATGGACACTGGACGCACGACCCCATCATTCGCTGCACAGAACGTATTTTTGCTGAGAAACCATGCGCGCAAACATCGGCCAATGGGGCTGGATACTACCATGAAGTCTACATCTTTCACGAGCACTGGCACTTCACTGGTCACACAGACAGAAACCTTCGAATTGCAGGGCCATTTTCATATATGTTCATTCATTTCCTATTTCGTAAACTCTCCCGGCCACATTTGATCCTGGTACCCTCTGGTAAACAGCCACATAGCTATGGAAAATCACCATGCTATCAACTATTTCTATGGCCATTTTCAATAGCTATTTTGACATAACCAGAGCCTAAATCCCATAAGATTACCAGTAAATCCCACTGAAAATCCCATTAAACCACCATTGAACCACCATTAAACCGCCAGTAAATCACGAGAGATTCGATCAAGGACTCCAGGTCTCCAGACGGTTGCTTCAAGGGCCTGCGAGTCACTTGGCGAGATGGAGAAGCCATCCGATGGCAACCAGTGGCGATTCCTAGGCAACTATGAGAAACACATAGAAACACTGCAAATAATGGGATTCATATCTATGGATAAACTGGATAAACAATGATAAACACATCTACCGGCAATATGTCTATACCACCACCCACAGTCAGCCTAGTCATAAACTTCGAGGGCATCACATGGGGAGTGGGTTCCAGCTATTTGGACTAGTCTGTACTTTCCATTGGTCAGAGTTTATTTTTGCTGATCTCTTGTTGGAAGTTATAGAATGTTTTCAAGAATCCCATCTCGGGCTGGTGGGGATTAGGGGCTGGCAAGAGCAGCAACTCAGTAACTACATCAGGTTATCCTAACGGATTGAACATGGAACTTCAGAAAGATGGCAATGTGGAAGGTGCAAAAAGCAAGATCGAACCACATCTTTCGGACCCGGAATTGTTTCAAGGGAACGTTTACACACAGTCGCAGGCTGGTTGCAGGAAACCATTTACAGGAACCACCCAAACATTTGGATGTATATAAAAACTATGGTTTCGCACATTTTGACCGTTAAAACCGTTAAAACTTAAATCCATTCTTTAGGGTTCCATAAGTTCCCTGTCACGTTTTCAGGGCTCTCGTCGGGCGATTATCCAGCGCGAACATGCCTATCTCGAAGGCTTTCCATGGCAAGACATGACAAGTATATGTGTATATATCACATAGCCAGGAGCCAACAGATGGATTAGATCAACCCATGGTATCTATATAGACATAATTAGACATATATATATATATGTGTGTGCCCATATTATATGCATATATTCAACATAATATATAATTTGGGGATTGTCATCAATCCCATTATTCATTTGCCCATTCTGTTTGGATTTACCTGGCATGGCATGGATGACCATATCTGATGTTCATTTTATATATAAACGATCTCACTGTGAGGTCACTGTAAACGATGGCGTGGGGAATCATCATGAATCATCCCAAAGTATCCCAAATAGCCTCATGACTTGCGACTATTCAGTTTGGTGAATTGCGACGATTTCTACATAGTGTATATATATATATATAATAGTTATATAAAATTGTAAATTATTATACAACCTATTATATGTATATATATATATATATTATATGAGACTTTCTCTAGTTTTGTCTGAAAATTTGGGTAGTCCTATATAAATATATTTAAATCTTCTGGTGCAACCTGTCAAAGCTATTTGCAGCAGCAAAGCAACGTGAAGGTCTTGCTTGACTGTGTTTGCGTGCTTGTCATTGTAAGTGGTTTGCATCACCACCACCACTACTACTACCACTACTACTACCACTACTACTCACCACCACCACCCCACCACCACCACCACCACCACCACCACCAGCACCATCACCATCACCATCACCATCACCACAAGCATCAGTATCAGCAGCATCAGCATCAGAATCAGAACCAGAACCAGAATCATAATCAGAATCATCATCATCATCATCATCAGAAGCAGAATCAGAATCAGAATCATCAGAATCATCATCATCATCATCATCATCATCCTCATCATCCTCATCCTCATCCTCATCCTCACTCTCATTCACCTCCCCATCCTTTGCCTCATCCTCCTCCTCCTCATCATCATCATCATCATCAGCCTCATCGTCATCGTTATCATTGTTATCAACGAATGCCCTCAAGCAATAGAAGAAGTCTGTGCACTGCTTCAAAGATTACACCCCCGAAATTTATAGCATGGAAACCTCCATATTTTCAAGGAATTTGGAAGATGTTACCCCTTAGTGCCTGGGAGGTCCTTGCAGTGGGACAGAGACTCTCACCTGGGGAGCTGCAAAGAGGATGACAGCAGCTTGGACGCATGGCATGGGTAGCATAGTTGCTGGGACGTGCTGGCATGAAAAGAGAGACAGAGAGGTCTTAGCATGCCACACTCAAATCATGAATCCTGTCAGCATGCCTTCAAAGGTATTTTAGTTTCACCCAGAGAAAGATTATGGTTTGCTAACGATTGCTTGCTACTTGAGACCGTGGTCCATTTTGTTACATGTTGGGACAGGTCCATGAGAAAAAAACACACATCTGTCACTAAATAGGAAAAAAACATATTTAAACACACTAGTTGCATTATGATGATAATTGTCAGGCAAACTGCCATGACTATGAAACACGTACCATACACAAAAAAACATGCCATTTTTGACCAAGGTGTATCTCAGTTCTATCATACCAACTGTCTCATTGTTTGGTGGCTAGATATTGTTCTTGTTGGTCAAGGCAGGCCTTTGGAATTGCTTCCTTTCCAGCAGTAGCAACTGCAAGCCTGTTTGCAGGGAGAGTTACTAGGTCCTTAGGTACCTATGATATCCTATGATAACATGGCTCCCCCAAAAAAAACATCTTCAAGTAATCTTCAAGTCCCAGTTGTCTCCCAGTGTAGTGCAGAACAAACCATCTAAGCCCAGAAACTTCGACACGAATCTCCCGGGAAAAGATGATGAGATTGTCGACATTGTCCAGTAGTGAGGTCACTGGTGGCCACATCACAACCTCATGGTCTACGAGGACTGGTATTTGCACTCTGCCCCTCGGCAAAACCGGAGAAACAGGGTTTGGGGTCGTGGGAGTTTCATCAAATAGATCCAAATAGCCCATATAAAAAAGGGATCTCCCAAAGTATCAAAAATGTAGCATCCAAAATGGGCAATGTGGTAAAACATGGTAAAACCAATGCCATAAACTTACCATTTGTGCCATTTGGGAATATGTTGTTTTTCTTTTCTCCTCATCCCACCCAGCAAAATGGTGACTTTGGGGATGGCGCCTTGACTCCAGGCACAGAACTATGCGGACCGATTGCACACACTCAACAAGTTCCTTTGCTGCACAAGTTCTGATGCCTGGCTCGACAACCTGACATGACGCGCGCAGCTGGAAAAACCCAAAGTTGTTTGAAGACTTTGAGAAGATCGACATGAAACCACCCTTTCCTAGCAAGACAATCTTTCAGCATTTTTCAGCCAATAACAATTATATAGCAGCAATTATCCACAATATCTCCCATTCCGGAACTACAGTACTCCTTTCAGGAAAAACTTTTGTATCCAGCCATGTGAGTTTGCCGCGTCTCCTCATTAATTCTCCCATGAACCCTATTATACCACTATTTTTCATTACCCATGTTGACAACGTTGATATAATATATATAATATACTCCATGTACTAACATGTACTAACGTAA